CACATGCTAGCCCGACTCAAACGGTAGCAGTTAAGGCTTATCAAATCCGTTGATGGCTGAGGGTTTGCCAAAAATCCTATGAATGTTTGTGGGCCCATCAGCTGAATGGATGTAAGCCGTGACGTGACATTTGAGAGCTTCTGTTCGTGATTAGCATGTACCATCGCTACAGTTTCACTTCGAAGCTCAGATCCTATGTGGCAAATCTTTTCAACCAAGATGCCTTCGAAGCGGGTGCAGAGAACAACTCCTTTATGACAAGGAATTAACAGCTCCAAGATCAGAGTTGAGATCCAAAGTATTCCGAAAATTCATCTCAGTCAACCGCGAACTTTCGAAAACTTTGGAGGGGGTTCTGTAGGCTGTCTAAAAGTTACTGCAGATAGTTGATCCTCATCAAACACCGATGATGAAAGCTATAATTTGACGGCTTCCAAAAGACTATAATTTAAAGACTTTCACGTAGATCGATAAAGGTTACAATCTGACGATCTTCACAATAGCTGATGAAAGCTCTAATCAACAGCCTTCACAATCAACATCGAGAGTTACAATATAACAACTCTCACATATCAAAGCGCTAAAGCAAAGATTACAAAATGACGATCTTTGCAACGCTCTGACAGAAAGAGACTACAAATCGACGGTCTCTTCAAACCAAGACGCGGAAGTCCTCCCCGCGTACCAGCATCAAGACATGACGTTTTTAGCCGTTGACGCAACTAATGTTCGGCCGCAAACGCAGCCTTTGAAAGCTGCCAACATAGCTTCCATCTGCTGCCAAACGCAGCTCTTAGATGCTGCCAAACTACTGCCAACGCAGCTTCCAAATCGCTATAAACACAGCTTTCAATTGCTGCATATGAGCTTTCAGACGCTGCGTCCGAGCTTCCAGACACTGCTTTCGAGCTGCCAGACACTATGTTTGAACGCAGAATTCATGCCAGAGCGCGAATTTTGCGTTTGACTCGTTCAAACACGAGCTGAACGGTTTCAAAATTGTTTCCCACGATCTGAAGGGATCACAACTCCACTCAGGAGTGATTTAAGGGGCGGTTACATCCCATTAGCCCCACAAATGAGCAATTTTAGGGGCGGTTACACCCCCTAATCGCCTATAAATAACTAAGAAACCAGCTTAGTTCGGATACTTCGGCTGGACAGCAAAGAAGAGATCCTTTGATCTTAGGACGAGGGTGGGATATCTTTGGATCTTTGAGAATTTTGGAGATCTAGAGATCGGCTTCTTAGGATCATCTTCTCGGTAACAGATTCTTAGGGCTATCTTCGTGCTTGGCTTGTCTAACTAATTACGGTTAAGATCAATCAACTCTTTTACAAGAGTTTAAACTCGCTCTGAGTTATCAACTCGTTCAGAGTTTCAAACTTGCCACGCAGTCCTCCACAGCATCAAATCGTGAGGAGAAGATACCGTCCAGTGAAATTGAGACGTGCGGGTCATCAACGAGAAGCAAACTCAACGCGAACATTCGAGGGAGGCATCTCATCGCTACCGTGAAGAACCCAGACTTAAACAAAGGGGAGAATTCAGATCAATTCTCCTCTCTTTTGTAATCGAAATTCAAATTATAATTAAGATCGAGAGAATACAAATCAAATTTCTTTTATTTTATTTACTACAAATTTTCCACTAAACAAATGGCTCAAGTCTGGGCGAATCATGAGTCAAGAACCAACCCACACTTATCAAGATGCCGCCAAGGTTCATACCTATACTCCTGGGATGGCTCTCTATCATAGCGGGGACTAGCCCTGGAGAAACCCGTCAGTAGCATCCTCAGCTGATACCACTTCTCTACCTTGATCTCATTGATGCAGTAAGGGGACGACCACCCGAACCTTTGAGCAGCAGGCACAACTTCAGTGGCTAGCTCCTTCCCCTGCTAATAGGCCGACTCGTTAGGTACCTCTTGAGTTGCCTCGTCCCTAGCTTGGGCCTCCGACCTCCTTGGTCTCGGCTATGTGGATGTTGGCCTCCTCTGCTCTGGTAGGGGACCCTTCATCAATAATGACGACTTCAGCTTTCTAAGCCAGAACAATAGCAACGGTAGTAGGAGCCTCCTTTGTTGCCTGATGAGGTAGGATCTATGTCGGTGGCTAGCTAAAGACGTCCCCTTGAGCAACAGGAGACACCCCCGCCTCCATTGTAGCTTTGGCCATTCTTTTCAGGCCTCAGCTACCTACCTTCTTCAGCCTCTTCCTCTTCGCAGCCCTCTCGGCCTGCGTAGTAGTAGCCCTCAACCCCACTAGTCGAGTGGCTATCTCAACCGCCTAAGCTCAGACCTCCTTGGCCTCCTTAGGGGCCAGATCCGAACAGAGGCATTTTTATGGCCTTGCCGAGGGCCCCTCTTGAGCTTGTGATAGCAAAGCCGTCAGTACTGCATCCAACTCATCCGAGCCCAGTGTCAAAGAGGCCACCCTAGTTTCATCCTCTACAATGGAGGCATAGAAGAGATGCTGACAACTCGCAAAACTAAGTTGTTGAAGGAGCCATTGATCTATCAAGAGTTGGTGAACGCCTTGATCAACTCCAAAGCACGCCTCTCGGTGCTCAACAATGGCACTAGCTTCAAGCCCCCTCATTGATTTCTAGCCAGTTGAAGTAAGCCAGGTTAGAGTCATCCCTAGACACCCACACAAACTTCTCCTTCCAATCCTTATTTGAATCAAGAGTATTAGTGATAATCTTATTCCCTCCCAAGACTTAGAGGTAGAGATGTCCCTCCTACTGGTTCACCTTCTCACAGACCAGGTGGCTGAGTACTTCTAGAGTCGGGTTGACTCCTAACCAGTGGCAGATTAGGACAAATCCCCACCAAAGTGGCAATGGAATTCAGCTATTTCTGTGATGATGAGATCCCCAATGCCTCAAAGACGTGGCAGAGGAGCGGGTGTAGCAGAAGGCGCAGCCCATACTCAAAGTGCTCAGATATACTAGAATCTGAATAATATCATGATCACAGACCGCTTGCAACTTTGCCAGCACTGTCAGGGAAAACGCCCTAGGAATGTCAAACTTCTCATATAGCGCCTCCATCTACGACAACGTCACTGTCGAATGAAATTTCTATAATTGTCCGAGGCAGACTTCGTTCCTAACTGATGTAGAGGCCATCTGATCACTTCTAATAGATTGTCGAAGAAGGTGAGGAGAATCAAAATTCTTTTACCGACAAAGAGCTTGAGGATATGAGTAAGTAGAAGAATCTTTTGTAATTGAAACAACCTTATTTATAGGTAGGAGAGGCGACAGATGGAGAGATCATAATGGTCGATCAATTTTGAGCCAACAATTAAGATCATTCGTGGAATACGAGGCGACAACTCCAGAATCGAAGCAACCCTCATCTTAAATAGCCCACAATCCTTACATGGAGGTCGAGGCGACAGCAACCCATAACTGTCCTCTAACGTCAGTAGTGTCACATCAGAAGAGACTCCTCAATACCCCTCATAAATGCATCTCGGGAGCCAAACAGCTACAGTCCTATTGCACTCAGACTTGACTACCCTGAGTCCAAGCGAAAGGGGTCAATGTTATAACATCAATTGGCCTAAGTGTTGATCTTTCTTATGAAACCGACATGTGTCGGATCATAGAATCAATCATGTCAACTCACCCCAGCTAGGGCCTATTCGGAACTGGATCACACAATCTTCCTGAGCTAGGATGATTCGAGACCAACTCTCACTCAACCCATCATTCGAATCGACCACCCTCATTCACTCCACCTGATCGGCAACTTGCGAGACCGACTAGAAAGGCAATACTTGTCGCCCCTCTCAAAAAAACCGAATGAGGAGGCGTTTTGACCTCAAAATCCATGCCAATAGCTATCCATTATCCTCATCACAGATGCCACGAGTCCTCATGACTCATCACTCATCATACCCCCTCAATCACCTTCATGTCCAATCGAGGATGACTCATTGCCTATGCGGTCAACACCTGTAAAGCTATCTGCCAATCCAGCTATCTACCAATCTAGCTATCTACCAATCCAGTTGTCTGCCTGGATTTGACCATAGTTACGTTTCTACCCCTCTCAGCTAGTATAAATAGGGGCTCATCATCCACTAGTCAGGGGGGATCCTCCATCACCCCTGTAACCCCCTAGGGCACATAGATATGCAACTTCGCCAATACTTAGAATTATTATCAGTTCATTAGTATCTTCTCCACTCAAGCTCAAATACTAACTTGATCATCGAAGGAACCATTGGAGAACCCAACTATAGTCCTTGAACGAGTGTTATTGTGCAATCCTCTTATACAGGCAAGGAATTGACCTTCAAGGGAGAAGATGAAACCCACATCTCACATATCGAAGCTAAACTTTGTCGCTAAACTCGAGATTACCTGCTAATCTTGCTGTTGGGTCTCAGGACGCCAACACTAACCATGTAAAGAAGAGATTTGCTTTGCAAACTTGGTTCATCTTTGGTCCTTAATAGTTGATCTTTGATCTTGTGGCAGCATAGCCACATAATAAGTAATCTTTGATCATTGTTGGCATTCTTCTCACTTGTTCAATGAGGAAAACCCTCCATTGTAAGTTCATTCTTCATTTCAAGAAGCTTCATCCCTCAGGATGGATTAGCTCAATCTCATTTACTACATAAAGCACAATGCTATTGTATTCATATAGTAAACAAAGCCAACATCTAGTCGCTTCCAGCACAACTTCCCAAAATCAAAATCATAACTAAAGACACTGTAATATTTGTTGTCCAAAGATATTAATAACAGAGGACAACTATTTTATTGTCTTAGATCTTTGCAAATCTTTTGACCTGAAAACATCACATGACGTGTCGTTCAGCGTGTAGGTTAGGAGGAGGAAGATTCTGACCATCAGCAGATTCATCGGAGGCCCAGTTTCCCTTATTTATTCTGCTTAATTTGAGAAATGATCTCAAAGAAATTTACTTTGTTACGCCAATTTTCATCGCAAGCATCCCTCTTAAGATGCAAATAATAAATAAACATAAATGTAGACATACTATAACAGTGTCTAGTTGGCCTACCAACTCGAGATCAAACATGGAAAATCAACCGATAGACTTTTCAGCTAAATAGGCTCACAAAACTATTACGTTAGTTATGCTAAAATACTTTATTCATATTTGCATAACATTTGGGATCACTGTCAAAGAGAACAGCTTACAATCTCAAAACAATCAGCCAACAGTCGACGCCCATCCATCATCAAGTCCCGTAAGCTTTCTTTTCCAACCTAGGAGTTGGATGGACCATCAAAGGCACAGCCCTCTGCAACGTAAGCCCAAAGGCCTCCTCCATGTCCAACTTCTCCGCTGAAAGGCCCTCGGGCAGGGCCCAATCAAAACTGTGAACAAGCATCGCGGTCACCAACTGGACCATCCTGAGGCCCAAGCTTAATCCAGGACAAATCCTCCTCCCGGACCCAAACGGAATAAGTTCGAAATGGTTGCCCTTGACATCGACATTCTCGTACCCTCCACCCGAAAGAAATCGGGCCGGCCTGAATTCTAGCGGGTTGTCCCACACTGCTGGATCACGTGCTATGGCCCAAACATTTACTAGGAGCGTCGCGTTTCGAGGGACGTGGTAGCCATTGACCTCGCAAGCTTCCGAAGCCATGCGAGGCAGGGAGAGCGGCGTCGAGGGGTGGAGACGGAAGGTTTCTTTGACGACGGCCTGAAGGAATGGGAGGTTTTGGAGGTCGGCCTCGTTGACGAGACGAGCTCGGCCCACGGTGGAGTCCAGTTCAGTTTGGGCTTCTCTGAGGCTTTCTGGGTGACGGATCAATTCGGACATGGCCCATTCAACGGTGCTCGATGACGTGTCCGTCCCAGCGGTGAACAAGTTCTGTAAACAAAGGTTAATTTGAAGGTGAGAACGAGTCGTCACGCTAGATAATTAAATTTCGTTTTTTCTAGACCTGAGGCAGTCATTTTCAATATTTAGGAGATAATATGAAATTACTGAAGATTTAAACCACTAATATTTAGAAAACCCTAAAGTAAAATGCAATTAATCATGAAGTTGCTGTGAATCAAACGGCCATCATTGGTCGTTGAAGAGTAGGTTTCCATAAAGTGAGAAATATGCTCACTGTGGATACTAATAAAACGTACGTACACGCTATGCCCTACTGTCTGTACATTTTTGTCCCATATAATTTTTTATTTTTTCAAAAGCCTGAACATTTTTAATCTTTTACTATGCTTCTGGTCACGTAAATGACAACATAGGAAGTTGAATATTTTTACTACCATCTACATGACATATCTACTATCAGCCTAATGTAAACAGGAATATTAATTAAGTTTATAGAGATCAAACGAATTAAATGAATAACAGTTATTTTCAGAGGTATCCGCATACTATGAAAATGTAGCTATTGTTCTAGACCTTAAACTCATCTAGAAATCTCAAATGGCTATGTTGTTGAAGAATATCTAATTAATTCCTCCCACAAAAAAAAAAAAGACTAGTTCCGCGAATACAGAAAACAGATCGAAGAACCTGTGATTTCAGGCTAAAGTTATAATTTCCACTTATAAAATAGAATAGAAACAAATAAGTGCGTGTAAAAACAAGTAATTCTTAAAAATAAATTAAAAGCAAGAGAGATGAAAGTTCTCACCAAGAGTAAAGCCTTGATGTCAGTGTTAGTGAGCTTGACGCCATCAGTGCTATCTACATCCTCCTTCAACCTCATCAACACACTGAGAAGATCACCACCGGTCGCCGCCATCGCCTGATGCTCCTCGATGACCCTATCAAGAAAGGAATCAAACCGGCAATGCAGCTTCTTCATCTTTCTTACGACACCCTGCACATCAAACCGGCTCAGTGCAGGCACGAAGTCACCCACATTGAAAACCCCGGCGACCTTCATTATGTCAATAATCAACTCTTTCAATTCTGCAGCTTCTTTGCTCTCTTCTTCGGCTCTGAACACTTTGTGGCCGAACATGGCCTTCGATAGCGCGTTTATACCGCACACACTCAGGGCTTTGCCAAGGTCCAGAGTGGTGCCGGTGTGCGCGTGTGCATAGAGTGCACGTGCTAGGACGTCGACTTCTGCAGCACGAACAGGACGGAGATCATCGAGGGCTTTGGGGGAGAAGATGTGAACTGCGCAGAGCTTTCGGAACATCCGCCAGCGTGGGCCGTAGGGGGCGAAAACCAAATCCTGTATTAATTTTTCAAAGTAGAAACTGTAAAAAAAACGTCCAAGATGCACTGAAAATTTAGGAATACATTCTATCGGTTAGCAGTAGACAATAAATTTGAAGTGAAGATAGAAAATTAATAATTATAAATTTACATTATAATAATGTACAGTACTTTATAAGTGAGTAAGCGATTGTTTTTTTTTTTGTAGATTAATTGACAAAAACTCATGCACTATATATGGAGAGTTAATTAATTAGTTAATTACTCACATTTAAAGGAGTTGCATCATCATTTTAGTTCCAGAAGATCACATGTGCACCTGAACCTATATATCCCTTCTTTTTTCATATATTCAAACATGTATTTAATTTGTACGAAAATGATATTTTGAAAACCATCCTATATATGTATTTGACAGAACTAAAATGTAAGCTGCTAATTAAGCTTGATGCCGTGTTAACACTGTTAAGCGTCTCTTCTATATATATATATACTGTTGTTAAAGAGCTTTATATTATTTCATAGTCTACTTAATCGGCCTGATATGATTATATTTCCCAATTAGATATGAATCATATGATGGACCAAAATTCAGCAACAAAACACGGTACGTGTTGCACCTGGTAATTGTATGCGATGTGCTCGGCACCGGAGTTAGGTGGCCTGTTACTGAAATTGGCATCAAAGACCTTGAGGAACTGAGCAGCTACGTCCGCGGAGGCGGCGACGACGACGTCAACGGAACCGAAACGCATCCGGAACAACGGCCCATAAAGCCTGGAAAGGGCAGCGAGAGTCTGATGAGGCTTAGCACCGAGCTGCGGGAGGTTGCCCAGAACGGGCCAGCCTCTTGGGCCTGGGGGAAGTGGTAGGCCTTGGCCCATCGGCCTGCTCCTTCCGCTGAAGAGGAGGTAGCAGAGAGCGGAGGAGAGCAAGATGGTAGAAACAACGAGTAAGAGGTGGTCCGTACCCATGGTTTATTTTAAATTATTTTTAATTAGCGTTGTAAGTGTGCGGATGAACCGTTCAAAGAGTCAATATATAGAGTAGAGTAGAGAAACGGAGGGATTGTGACCGACTGGTAGTCACGAGGGAAGGCGGGGTACATGGGAGGTGAGCGTGTCGCAATGGAGGCCCGCTTTGGCAACCACCAAAACGAATGGATGGCATAAAAACTTCTGACGGTTCGATGTCCTTGGCAGTTACGCACCGCATGTTTCACAAGAGCGCGAAAACGGGCAAGTGGAGGTGGTTCACTGCGATAAATGTTGTCAATTATGATACATTCTATGCCTCTACCCGGCACATTTTTATGTCTCACAAATAGACCGCGACACATATTAAAAGTGTGATTAGAGCATATGTGAATTGAAGAGAGATTTTCTA